ACGCAAGAGAAATCCCCGTGGAGAATCATACCTTGGCATCAATCATCTCTTCTGAACTTTGTATCACTCTGTTGGGATGGGGTCATTTTTCAACGGGGGTCAATTCATTATGGTTGCACATGCAGAAAACTGACCCCTAGGGGTTTTTTTCTTCAATTTTTTTTTCTACGGCTAGAGGGTGATTTTTAGATGACCCCCGACCATTTTCTACGGGGGTCATTATTCGTCATTACACCGGATTGCAATAGGATTTTATTAGATTTCGTTTTTATGGTAATTGGCAATGATTAACTGCATATATCTGAAAAGTATGATTTTTTGCGAAAAGATGAAAATATGTGTGATATATAACGATCGAATTATCTAAGATTTCTTTTTGAAGAATACCTTAGCGCCTGTCAGTTTGCATTGCAAGTAGACTTTGCTATTATGTCGAAACTATATTGAAAGTTTTCCATTTATATTTTCACTAAAACGTTCATTATCAATGAGAATAAACATGAAAATATCTCCGAAGATAGATGTTCTGAATAGTTTACATAATAGATGTGGAGTAGTATTAGCTATATACAGTTTTAAGGGTCGTGGAAATTCAGAACGATTGCATTTTCGAAAAATATGGATCAAAATTTACAACAGTTCTAGTAATCCAACTCTCTACTCATAGTTTCATTTCAAATGAAGAGATTATTCAAAATGATGTATCAGTTTTTAAAAATTTTACGAATACCGATCTAACAGATTGAATTTCTATTACCGTACATATACTGGATATGAAAAACCTCATAGAAATCCTCATGAACAAAGATATATTGCAGGGTTAAATAAAAGCTGTACCAAACATCTTTCTTAACTTCTCACGACAAAATAAACAGCAGTGAAAGTGAAAGTTCAGCGGTAATGTGCAACAACAAATTCCAGAAATGGTGCTTATCAAATGTGCTAAGCAAATTTAAAATCACAATTTTTTTCCAAAATCAGCAAAATCAAATATATCATATTTTCTTTGGATGACACTTGTCAATTCCTAATTGCTGGAATTGTCAGTGCAAGGTAGGAGCAACTGCAGAGCTGTCGGTTGATATGCGCATTTTTGGTATCATTGACATTGTGAAGTAAAGCTTTTTGTGACGACTGAACATCAAGGCTTTATTCTTAATGCCATGTAAAAGAAACTGGGATTAAAATGACAAATCTCTAGAATAAATATTATGTATATTACATGTATATGACTTCTCAAGACCGTTTACAACCATTCAGCATGATTTTTTTTTCTTTTTTTAAAAAGGACTGTTTGATATAAATATATCCGTCATCAATAAAAATTACACTCGAAAATGTACATAACTTGAGATTGGTCATTAAGGAAATTATTTTGTAAAACACATTCTTGTTTTCTCACAAGTATTCTGAAGCAAAAATTAAGAAAATGCTGGGATTTCTTATTGACAATTTCTGTATAGTGAAATATATGGAGATAACGAACAGTATTCAAGCTCAAAAGTCCATTATACAAAACAAAATAGGAGTCTTTGGAGTTAAGGTCCTCCATTAATCACTGTTGCTGTTGCATTGAATTTGATATCAGATATATTGATGACATTGTACCAGGTTTTACTATTTTTAGGTCACCTGAGTCACTCAGGTGACCTATTGCTATCCGTTTTTTTGTCTGTCGTGCGATAACATTTGAACATTTTCAGCTTCTTCTCTGAAACCGCTTTACAAGTTTAAACTAATTTTCGCATATAGCATCTATGGGTGAAGGGGAACAAAAATTGTGAATTTAATGCCCCCCTCCCCCCCCCCCCGTGGGACCTGAGGGGTGAGACTAAAACCTCTAAAATTAATGCAATCTTCTTCACTCCTGGACATCAAGCAGTCAAACTGTTGGCACGATTGTAATAAGCACTGAGCCCTTTACCGAAATTGTGAAAATGCATTATTTCTTTGAAAATCTTCTCTGCTGGGTATTAAATAAGCTAACCAAGTACATAGTTATGTTGAACAAGACTGCCTCTTCCAAAATTGTGATTTTCATGGCCCAAGGTCAGGGGTTCTGGTGCTAGGGTGGGGCTTTATTAATTATATAGTGGAAATACATTAATTCTTTGAAAACTTCTTCTCTGCTCATGGGTATTAAATAAACTAGCTAAGTACAAAGTTATGCTGAGCAAGAGAGCCTCGTCAGAAATTGTGAATTTCATGGCCCCAGGGTCAGGGGTTCTGGTGAAGGGGGGGGGGGGGCTCTATTGATTATATAGTGAAAATGCATAGTTTTCTTTATAAATATTTTTTTTCTACTCCTAGTTACAAAGCAAAGAACAAGTGTTTAGTTATGATGAGCAAGGGTGCTTTTTACAAAATTTTTAAAACTTATGGTCCCAAGGTTCTGGTTTTTCTCCAAAAGGGGGGGGGGGGGGTTGCTCTTTTGATAATATAGAGAAAATGTTTGAGTTCTTTGAAAACCTTCAACTAATTGCATAGTTATGATGATGAGGGTACCTCTTCCAAATTTGTAAATTTCATGACCAGGGTCATGTTCTGGTGTCAGGGTAGGGCTGTGTTAAATTTGTAGTGAAAATGCATTATTTCTTTGAAAATCTTCTCTGCTCTTTGGCATACTGGAGGCAAATAGAGTAAAAGTTTTAATAAACAAGGGTATTTAACCAGAATTTTGAACATTTGGACCATTTAGTCAAGTGTTCTGGTCCTGGCTAGGGCTCTATTAATTTGTATTCTACTGAGCAGAGTTATTCCCCTTTGCCATTCCTCTTTCATAATTAACACTGTAAATAATGTACGTATTTGATAGGTTAATAGAATGAGAGAATTATGCAAAAACATTTATTGTATAATACAAAAAGTACTTTCGTAGTTTTAATGATCAGGTAGACTTGGAAATTATAAATGAATAAAAATGAGACAAAAATAAATCATCTTTTTAAATGTTCTTCAAAGGCCAAGAGACACCAGTGTGAGAGGTAATTATATGGGGTTAAATATAGATGTTTTAGTAATAGGCTGCATTGTTATAGTGATAAATTGGGGACGGATAAATAATAGACCAATTAATTTGTTGATCCTAATCATACTATTTTTCCTGCTTTTGGGCAACAAAGCTTCATTTATCAGTTTATGGATCCTCTGAATTGTTGTACTCAGGTGACCGTTAAGGCCCTTGGGTCTCTTGTTTCATTTATATGTTAATTCTATATGTCTCACTTAACTTAAATACAAAACACCTCCTCAATTTGACATCTCTCTGTTTGATATTTGGATATTTCACTAGAGATAGACGTTGGTGACAAGCTAACAACTAAACTTTATAAATGTGATAATTTAAACTTATTTTCAGTCAACTCCCCTAATTTTTAAGCAAAATATCATCATTAGCTGCATATGGTGGTTATGTTTTCTAGTCGTTTCGATACGCAAAAGTATATTTTGTGTTCAGTTTCTAAAGCGAAGTAGACTGACGGATAAGTTGATGTTACAGGGTATGAACATACTCTTTTAAAGTTCGCAAATTCTATGGTCGTTACAAAGACCTTGATTTCCAGTACGACCTATCGTTCAGTCGAATGCAGACTGGGCCATTATTTTCATTCCGATTTGTGCACAGAGAAAGGCTCTAATTGGCGACTAATTCAATCGTAATGGCACCTAAAATTTTTTATTGGCGCCTAAAAATTATTCATAAGTCGCCAAATTTGCGACCATTTTAAAACGGTGAGTGTGACCAATAGACAGGAGAAGCTTACTTCTCCATGGCACTAGAGCTCACTATTGGTATTTAAATCGGCAGAGTCCCCAGTCGAAGAAGTGTAGAAAAATTTTATTGAAAAAAATAACTTGTGGTTAGAACTAGAAACTGAAAGATGTTAATAACATGTGTGTTGGTTCAGTGTTTCCCAGAAAACTACTGTAGAATCATTTTAATTCTTGGGGAGTCAATGTTCATGAACAAGCAAATTTTTTGGTTCTTGGGGTCGTAATTTCGTGGGTAACTTGTATATAAAGAAAATTCAATTATTAAATATATATGTTGACAAAATAAATGTTCTTATAGATGTAAATTCGTGGGAAAGGGTGACCCACAGAATCCACGAACATTGGTCCCCCACGAACAATTATGATTCCACAGTATTTGTATTTACCGGTATATGCATCATATAATTTGACTTTGTTTTTTGTATCAGCACCGTGGCATTTAAGAAAAGAACAAGATATAGAGAATTTCTAAAAAGTAAATAAATAATTAAAAGCGTACTGCATTTACTATACTTTCGTGGCTTAAAAACAGTCCTGAGTTAAACGCAAATGAAAACATTTTGGGTCGCATAAAGAAGACCCTTCTTTAAATTATGACAAGATAAGTGGAAGGAACTCCAGTGGTAATGATCCTACTAATAAACTAATGTTCAAATAGCTGTATCTCACTTCTATTGCTGCCCAGTTTGTCGAGCGGTCTAAATACGGTGTTTATACACTGCTAGTAGACAGGTTCCGCAGGTCGAGATTTTAACCCCGGGTTTGGGCTGTAGTGGTTATTCTTGTAAATTTTTCTGGATCGAAATAAATATATAGCTATGAATACTTCCTACAAATCATAATTTAACTCCATGTTTTATCATCTTCCTCCACTTTATCTCTCTTTCTCATTGCTCTACCTCCTAATAATTCATGATTTCTGACAAAATGAATACCAAATAGGGACAAAAAGTATAGTTTAGAGATCGATATGCAGTTCTGTGAAGGTATAATTTAATTGTGTTTTATTGACGGAACAATGGAATTTGCTAGTATTTTCAGTATATGTAAGTTTTGACTAAACGTATTTATAGAAAATTTGACAAATTTCAACTAAAAGAGGCAGATTTCAATGACTTGTTAAATGGCTATGTTTCCCCTTATAACTTGAAAATTACATTGCAACATGAAATTACAAAAATTCATAAATCATCCATATACATGTAATGCAATTGTAAGAAAAACTATGATGGTTAAACATCTTTAAATAACTTGAAATGACCACAACTGAAAATTAATTGACTTGACAAGGAAAATAGTAATCGTAGTGACATTGATTTGTTTTATATCCGAACACTACTTTGTTTTATTGTACATTTCCTTATTGAGGTCTCTTCTATTCAAGCATTGGAATGATATGAATTATTTATCATAATATATATCATGAATTTCTTGTGTGGTAATAAATATCAAGTTAACAATAATGTCTCAATTTACAATTAAACAACATCAACATGGACCATCAATATGACTAGAATACTTTGAGATTGCTTAAAGAAAATTTTCTAAGGCAGTCCTCTCATATCTTGTTTTTGCCATTCTGTGATATTTTTCTTTCTTTCATCAATTCCTTTCTGGTCTCCAAGTAATTCTCTACTTCTAAAACAGCGCTTTCAGCCTAGAAAACAAATTATATGTAATTGATAACATTTACAATACAAGGAGTCTCGAAAGATTTGCTTTATTCAATACTGTCTTATGACAAATATGAAAAGTGATAAAAAAATTTTAAATACTTTTTCTGAAAACAGAAAATAAAGGTTATATTGACGAATTATTTCTCGAAAACTAATGCACGAGGTTGATTAAAAAGTCTTTTTTTAAAGAAATCAGCAACGATAAATTAACTTGATGACAGTGTTCTTATGTCAAGGCATTGGCATTGGTTAATTCCATTTGTTCGGGAAAAACCTAATAACTAATTTCCTCGTCGGATTTGAACTATTTTAGTAATGTTTTGTAATCCCAGAGTTTTTAAATTTTCTAAAGAAAAGAAAAGAGTTTTTAAAATCTAATTCAAAAACTTTTTATTTAGAAGATTCAAACTCGATTCAAACATTGGACGCAATTTCTTGATTTCCATGCAGACAACATTTAATATAACATAGATTTTGATTGGTTTTGCGTCTCAGCGAGAATTTTAAATCGTATTGAGATGCCTCTTGCTATCTGTGTAGTGCTGAATATTGTCTTTGCTAAGGTCTATTGTGACTTACAGTCTCCGTTTTTGAGCTTCAGTCGAAAGACCTATCACTTTTTTTCTTATGTTGAGCATTTTGCACAGGAACACTCAAAGCTTGCATTAAAATTTCAATAGAGCAGATACGGTTTGTAATCGAACAGTGAATTTTCCGCACAGGAGGCGAATGTTCTTCCTTTAGAAATACATCAAAATACTAATTTAAGATCATCGCAAGTATAATTTTGATTGATTGATTGTATGTTGTTTAACGTTCCATTCGAGAATTTTTCACTCATATAGAGACGTCACCATATAGCGATGAAGGGCTTCAAATTAAGACCTTTACTCGACATGCACTCAGTGCCGTTGATCAGTGAGGGTTCTTTTTCGTGCCAACGCCTAATCCGAGACACGGAGCTTGGGCTTTAAAGGATCCGCAACTTTCACTTCAAAGTGCCGAGCGCTTGGCGAAGGAACAGTTGCTACCTATTTTTTATCGACTTAGGTCAGTTGCGGCCGTGATTCGAACACACGACTTTCCGATCACGGAGCGAGCGCTCTACCGACTGAGCTACCGTGACGACTTATAATTTTGAAGATACTACACTAAAGGAACTATGTGAGCCCCTCACTTATCGACTCTGCTTACCCATATGAAGAGGCCAACTACAGCATGACACTTTCCCGATATCGTGTTCCTGTCATAAGTAGAAAGAAGTCTTCTGGCTTTTTTTACAGAGTTGAGGTTAACATCCTCACATTGGAATTCCTGCATATGCCTCTGAAAACGGCCAGTTTTGCAAAGTTGCTGTAGAAAAGCCCAATTCTGAAAAAAATAATGTATTTACAAATCTTATATACAATTCACAACGTACAAAAATGAAAACTGTAACTTGCATAAGATTCATGTACCTAGATGCTTCACAAGATATAGTTATGGTTGCTTATTAAATAAAATTAGTTGGTTATACTTTTCTATACTTTACATATGTTCAATGTTCATAGAGTTGAAGTTTCTTATTTGAAGATGTCTTACCTCTGCTTGATTATTTAAGAATTTAAAGTTTACCCAATAACTTTGAATTTTAGCATTTTTAAAGTTGTAACTTGAAGGCTTTCTTGAGAGAAAATTTCTTTTCTTTTTTTACACGTAATAATAGAAAATTTAATTATTAGGAATGAGTTTTATAGATACCCAAGTTTAACTTGTATTACCTGGGTTGGAACATTTTACAATTTTTATAAACGTCATCTCATCGCGTTTTACACGGTATGAAAAATGTTCCAAACCAGCTTACTGTGGTTTCATCATTATTCGTTGAACACCAATTTTCGTGGATTTCGTTGTTGAGTCGATCCACGGAATCAAATGTTCATCGAAGTTTGGTGCCTCCAATTTGATTTATGATAAACCTTTGAAAAGCTTATTTCGATTTTCCTTAATAAATACGACCCCCCCCCCTTTTCCCTCAACAATTTGACTCTATAAACGTATTTTATCATTTTAAGAATATTTAAGAAAAAAATAAGAAATACTATAAGATAATTATCTTGCAGTTTTGAGTCAAGATGTTTAAATATTCTGCACGCAGATAAACAAACAACACGTAGATATGTCAACGCGGTGTATATACCAATCAACGGTGTTACCCCCAAAAGGATGATAATCAGGTGTAAATAATATGTAAAATTTGTTATTCTCAAAAATTCTAACGGTCCAATATGAATTATCAACTGCACAATAAGAACGGGTACATGTATATTGCAGAAGTCCTGCCATTTCGCAGACGGTATTTGGAATTCCTCGCCCTTTATTGTTATACCATGTATACTACATTGTAAACGATTGAAGATTTTTTAAAATACAGATGAGTAAGACTTAAATAATAAATTAAAGAGTTTTCACCTTTTATTATTTGCTTTTAAATATTAACGTACTCTTAACATTGTAAATGTCGTGAAGGTTCCCGCTGAAGCAAATGGAGAGAGAAAAAATGAAAAGGTGACAATTTTTTTGTACGACCATTATCGACGAATTTACATATCCTCGAAACTGTGATTTTTACTAAATCCATGAAAATTGATGCCCACGAATATTAATGAAACCACAGTATACAGTATAACGTGATTGGTAGCTATTCAATTTATTCCTTAAGTACATTGAACCTCTTTAGTGATCACATAACAGAGAGGTTAATGAATTTAAGATTTAATGTTAGAATTGTTTTATCAATGAAAAATTCATATTCCCTCAGTTTGCATGTGAAATTGAAAATTCATTAAAATACATTTTAGGTTTTTAAAAATTCCAGTTAGTAAAGTGAAGTGCTATGTTCATTAAATGTGAACTTTGATCATTAAACGAACAAGTCACAGGGAGTTGTAGCTTTACAAATAATATATTGAAGAATTTTACAACCTTAGCAACACGTTTCTGCGATCTTACTGTGAACATATTTGGCATTGTATACCTGTCGTGTATTAGCTTCCAATCATGTAATCAGTAAATTGCTGGGTCTTAATGCATAGGCACAGTGAACTATATATCTAATTGGCACGTGAACAGATAAACAAATCGCTAAGTGCGGACATGTTTAGAAATATTTGCTTGCCTGTTATAAATCCTTTCACTTAGCTTCAACAAAACTGAAATCGAATGGAGCCAAAGTTAATTCCAACAACTATGTACTTACTTTAGCTTGTCGTGGGGGATAACCTAGGAGTAGAGCCACTGCCTCCAGTGTGTCTTTTACGGCTTGAGGGGGGTTTGGTAGAGCCTTTATGATTTCAATGTTAGTCTTCATCGATTCCAAGTCATCCTTCGTCAGAACTGACATCATGATTGGTCTTTTATAATGTTCTCTCCACAATTAAAACTCAAAAAGGTGACGTCATCTGAAGATTTACAGCCACACGATGTAGCTATGTGTTAATATAGAACTTTATGATTTTGTCACAAGTCACAAACTGAAGTCCTATAATCCTCCTCGAATAAAGCGGGGGCTTTAAAATAAATTAAAGCAATATTACACAAAATCTTGCATTTGAATTTGACAATACTTCAGAGGGATATCTCCTTTAATAAACGGATTTAAGCTATGTCAATAAAAGACAAAAATAGTAAGGTCTTAATCCCATATGAATAGGATCTAGCAATACAATTATTCTTTTTCAATCCTATAGATATGAACTTTCTGGACCAGATAGGATCGATTTTAAAAATCATTATACGTTCTAATCTTTAAAAAGATATATGGACGACTAAAACAATGCGGGTTACTTATGTTCTCCATTTTCCTCTACAGACTAGATTCCCTTTGTACAATTTATACAAATAAGTAATGATATATTACCTTATTCCGCGTATAGACTCTCTCATATCAACCCCAAGGTGGATTTCAATCGATTGCATTGAACGCTCCTTTTTGTCTTGTATGTTATCGATAGGTTATAACGTAAGAACTGTTTTAATTGTTTTATGCTGTCTTTGACCGGACCTTTAAATCATACCCCCTTTTCTTAATCCAGTACATTTAAGAGAATTTAAAATTGATCAGCACTCTATACTGCATTCATTTCTGTAGTGTAAACAAAGTTTACTTATTGTTCCTAACACTCGCGTAATGGAAAACCTCCCCAGAGAAATAATAGAAACTTTTCTAAATGCACACAGAAATCTTTCGATCCTGTTGTATTTATCATATAGGCCTTTTATGTCGAGTTTCTTTCTCAACAGTGAATCATTTTAGTGTTTATTTATGGTTTTCTAATACGTTATGTTTGATTGCACATTTCTTTCTAAACTTTCTTTTTACACATACACTAGTATTGTCAACTGGTTTTGAAAATTTATTGCTTTGGGTGTAAGTTCAAGTATCGATATTAATCCATCATAATGAATTTCAAATATTGAACGATAGGTAATGAAGATTTAGCCGTAAAGAATTTTCAGCTATTCAAATGAAATAGCATATAATTATATACTGGTCGGAGTACGTGTATTTGGTATTGGTTACATCAGACAACATATTTGAAATGTTCAGTCAATTAATCCGAAGTAATGACCCTATTTTATTTTCCTTTCCCTTCATTCATATGATCCAATTGGATGTTTGAGTGTAGATAATGCAGGTTCAGAATAAACTCAGAGAAAACGACCGATGAATTTTCAGTTCGTAAAATAAAATGAAGCGAAGGATAAAAAGTTTCCATCAGTACTGTACTCGGTAAAAGCCATAATCAATGGATTGAAGGCTCTTTTCTGCGAAACTTATGAGATACATGTTTCTTGGAAAATGTCTATAAACATTGAAATAGTGGTGAAGTAAATTCTTGTCTGATCTCTGACTAAATAAAATATTTAAAGTATATTTGCTTAAGTGTCTTTAAATTTATATTTAGATATAAGGGATTTAAAAGATATTTTGTTTTCTTCTCATAACTGTACAAATTTATATAGAAATTGTAAACTGAGATTGAAATATAGTCCCTCCTTGATTTCAAACTCAATTTACCATTATTTATAGAAAGTTGTACAATTATGAGAAGGAAAGAAAAATATGATCATTTAAATTCCTAACATAAAGGATTTTTTTTAAAGGAACTGAAATTAATAATTATGGACCAACGTTTTAAAATATATCAAATAAATATGATTTAAAATTTCCAAACAAAACAACAATCTTGTTAGATTTTGAAAGCTTCCAATCTAAGAACACATCTGAGTAAAAAAAATCAGTCCTTTATTCAACCCTTTTTGTTTCTGCATCATTCCGTCTCTTGACAATGTAATCCCCATATGTGAAAAAAGTAAAATTTAGATATACATGTACTAAGCATATAAACATTCTCTAAATTTTGAAGACGAATATGGGATATTCGGGTTAGCCAATAAATTATTTATCTGAATTTCATTTGATAAAGCCTATGTGATATCTTTTATGCAAAAAGAAATTTAATCTATTGAAATAGAGTAGGCATCATATGATTGGCAACAGTAATATTTGATTCTTAATATCAAGGGAAAATATACAATGTAATGACCTTTATTTGACCTTGCTCCTGAGGTAAAACGGTCAATTTTAATCCAATTGATACCTTAACTAGTGATATTGTCTTCTTGAATCTGTAAAAATTTCATTAATGTTTTTATACAATAAATATGAGAAGAATCCTTCCTTATATAGGACACCTCTGCAGACATTTGTCTCAATGGATTTCTGTATATTAATTCAACGGAGGTTGCCATCAAAACTGATACGCCTAAATACGATGTTATAAAAATGTAAAATTTCAAACGGATTTGAGTACACTTCGCGAACTTCACATGATATATGTATGTTGATTAGATATATCCCACTGAACATCAAAAACACACACACAAGAGAGTCTGACACATCTGTTTCATATTTGGATATTTTTCTAGAAAAGACAAAGTTGCAATTGACGGCAAACTAACTACTAAAACTTATGATAAACGTCATGACTTCAACCTTTCTATCGTCAACTTTCCTTATTTATGTAGCAATATACAACTTTAACACACGGATTTTATGTCTCCCAGATGATTCGAAAAGCAAGAGCATGTTCTACGTACCAACAGTTTGGTACAAGGATATAAGCAGTCTCGTTTGAAGTCAAAATTTTCCAAATTTATAGTCGATGCAATGACCTTGTTAGCAAATAAAATCTATCGTTAATTCGAATGCTGACTGATGTTTTTCATACAAATTGATAGGCCATTATTTTTTTCCTGAATTTTCTACGGATTTTTTCCGTTTACCCGATCACAACAAGGAGCACACGGCAGGTGTGGCCCTTTGACAGCTAGGGATGCTTACTCCCCATCGGGCCTGATCTCACCTCTGTTTTCAGAGGTCCACGTTGGCTCTGCTTACAATTTGTAAATTTTTAAATAAACTTCGGAGCATGATCACTATTTTTATCTCCACATTTCATTTCAAGAGATAAGATCTGAAGGTGTTTTTTGTTACAATGTGACAACTCAGAAAAAAGAATCCTACGATTATTATACCTTTTAAATGAATCGATATATGTACTTTGAGAACAATATTTTAGTTAGAAGGTTAACAGTTGGAAAGAAACCCTTTTTGCATATAATGTCACATTCTTGTCATCGGAAGTGTTCAAGAAATTCTGAATGAAAATGAATTCAAAGAACATTCTCTTGTTGGTGGCAATTCCAAGACATTTTTAATAAATAATATAATTACACACTAGTGAATGCATTTATTAATTATTCTGTTTAGGTATTTAATTGATATCACATAATTACGCTAAGTGCGACATTGAACTCAGTGTTAATTACGACGATTTATAGCGATGTGTATATATGATGCATGGTTTAAAGTTTTCTGAGCAATTTGTAAATGCTTAAATTTGACTCATATTAAGTAGACTAAGTCTTAATATTGAATGGTATTCTGCATACACGTATATTTTTTTCAGAGAGAGAGGGAGAGCAATGCACGTACATGTATACACTTCTTAATTAATTCTAAAAAAAAAAAAAAAACACCTAATGTAAAATGTACTTAGCCATTTTAATTGATCCGTAGTTAATAATATCGATATGCGCAGTTAGACCAGCTCACCAGCTCAGGGTGAAGCGTCGATATCCAAATGTGTTTGAGGGGGGTGGGGCACAGATCAGTGAAAAGCAAAAAAAAAATCTCCTAATAAAACAGCAATCGGTAAAAGTTCAGTCTAAAAAAGAGAGCCTATCTTTTGTGGGAGAGGGGGGATATCGTACTGGTATTTGGTATTATGGGAGATTCGAACCTCCTACTACAGCAACGATTAAGAGGAAGGGGGGGGGGGGCAAACGGCCCCAATATAGATATTTCTTTGCTAAGTTAACAGCAAGAGAATATGCTAAGGGGAAAAACGGAAGAGGGGATGACACGGAAATTTTGCAAAAAATAAATTATGATTTTGAAATGATCTAATAAATACATAAAAAAAAGTAGTTTCTGGTAAAAATGACTATTGTATCAATTTTCTTAGATTGTTCCGGTAAAGGCTGACTTGAAATTGAATTGCAATACATTTAGGATATAGATACAGCAAATGTGGACTTTTTCCAAAAGCATTATGATCAATGTTGAAGAAAATAACAATTACATCGACGGTGATATTAGGATTAAAAATATTTATGAAACAGAAGAAGCAACAGATTAAACAATAGATTTGGCTGTAAAGAAATTACAAACTTCTGAACAATGTTGATATGGCGACATCTTTAAGAATAAATCACTGATAGAGGAATAAGTACTAGTTACAAGTGGTTATGGGTGTCATATTCAAATGTTCAGAACACTTTCAAAAACATCAACCACACCAGTCGTAAGACAACAAAGACAGTGAAGAAATCTATATTTTGATAAAGATGAACAAAAAATTAACACTGGTGATGTTTCGAGTGGAAAAACGGAGGTTCAGGCAAAACTTTGATAACCATAAAATATGCTAAAAAGGCATTTTTTGGCTGACTGTTGGACAGGCACTTGACGTTTTTAAGCTTTCTTTTCATAAATAAAAATTTCTCCATATTATAATAGTATGTAGAATTTTTTATATATGTAAAGAAAGGTTAAAAACGTCAAGTGTCTGTGGACTGTTGTGTTCATGTACATGTGTATGTAATAAATTAGTCACGTTTCGTGTTGAAATCTTGAACGTTGAGTCTCAGCTCTGATATCTCGATACCCCGGATATCTCGACATTTTTTGAAAGTTCTGTTGATGTAGGGATACTGAAGGAAAAATATTAAAGAAGCACACACATCTTTCTGATTTTAAAGGAAAAAAAGTTTCTATTTCAGTCGTGTGGTAACAGGCAAAACTAAGAGTCATGCTCTTTAATTTCGAGATTCTGACAAATTGTTATTTTTTGAAACAATAACTAGGAAAAAATGGTTTGTCTATTTTGTCTTTAGCTTTCAAGACAAAAGCAGATACTAAGTCGATCGCCCATGAAGTTCAAGTTAGAGTGGTAGAGTTACAAACATTCAATGGACTATTGCTTAACCGAATCGCCTCGTATACAAAAAAGTATAAACATGTGTGTTAGACGTAATATTTAATTATTGTTTAAGAATATAATTTCATTACCTGTATAAATCCTGGAATACCAGTGCTCCGCCTTACAACAACAAAAATGTGGGGGGGGGGGGGGGGGGGGTACCAGCACGTATAAGAGGACCCCCCCCCCCTGCATTCTACGGGCCTGTTAAGTCTCGCATGATATTCGGTTTCAATTTCAAATAGATTTCATAAAAATTGTAATGCAACTGTATTTCATTTCACTCAGAAAAGTCCCTTTTGTTTGTATGTATATCAGGGTTTTTTTTTTAGATAAGCGACCCTTTTAAGAAATGATGAACGATACTTGTTGTGTTCAAGTGATACAGCAGTAGCGTCGAGGGCACACGTGCCTCAAAATAAAAACAAAAGGACAGAAACATTTTTAACTGCTTTTTATTAAGTGTGATTTACTGAAAAAAGTAAGAAGTTGACAAAAAAATTAATTTTTCATATACAGAAGTAGTGAACAGATTTTTTTAAATTAATTAATTATGATTTTTTTTTAATGAAACTTAAAAATTTTTTTAAAAAAATGTTTACACATTTGGCGTATCTGAATTTATTTCCCGTTAGAATTTTTTGGTGATACAGAAAATACATGAGGTGTTATTATTCCTTCGTAACAAAGTTATAGGGATAAAGTAACGTGCGTGTATGTGGGTGAGTGAATGCGTGCTTATATCCGAAAATATCTTTTTTTTATCGGGATCGATGTGCTCTTTCGAGAGGGGATGTCCCGCTTTAATTGCACGAGGTGCCCTTCCGGGACATATATATATATATATATATATATATATATATATATATATATATATATATATATATATATATATATATTCATATTTTAATATTACAAGTGTTTTATATCTTTTATAAATGAAGCTAGAGTAGGAATTTTAAAAAGAATACCTTATGATGTGAAATCCAACAAGTATTAATTTTTCGACTGAATAAAAACCGTTCCTATATTCTGTCTAGACCCCCTCCCCCCACCCCTAACGAAATTACTAGACTTGCCCTAATACAGTATGAAAATAGTATGCGACTTCCCTCATGAATAAATACATAAAAAGAAGAAAAAAAAAATCTCAAGTTTATATGAGTAAAAACGATTTAGATTATTTAAAAAGTGTAGTTTTTAAAAGAATGTTTGGAAACTGAATTTGACGCACGCGACATCATTACGTTTTCAGTAAGTATCGTCAACGTTGTTTCGTAGCAGCCTTACTAAAATGCTCATGAAATACTAATAAAGTGAGATATTTTAAAAATTGATGTATATTTGCATTCAGAAAGAGTCAGGCTATCAAAATTTAACAAAAAGTCAATTTGTGAAATTTTGACGTTAAGGGCCCTTTTCTCATGACGGCAGTCAATTTTGTTTTACAGTGAAAATAACTTTAACCAAAGTGCATCTGATTTAAAACAAAAAAAGCAGTATATACAATTTGTTATATTTCAAAATTACAACCAAAAAGGGGTCCTCATCAACTCGGCTACGAAAAATAAAATTTAAGGTTATAAATGATAAAAGAATAACCACTATGACATACAAAATTGTGAATCAAGAAAGCTTTATCAACATAAACATATAATTTGACAAATACAAATCTTGTATATACAATAAATATTATTAAAAAAAAGTTATTGTATAGCCTTTTATTTACACTCCCAATTGTTATTTCAGATAAAACCGAAGGATTTGTTTAATCAGACAACATATAAGTTAAAATTTAATTTCATAATAGAAAAGATTTTCATTCAGAATTCACACACACACACACCCTCCCTCACACACACACACTGATCCCATAAACATGCATGTGGCAATGGTGATCAAAAGAAGACAACACTTATGGGGAAAAATGTAGTTATAATTGGGAGATTGAGGAAAGGCTGAAAACTTTGAGAGAGCAGCAGGACCTCTTCATATGTTTGTCAAGCAAAGACGTCGTTTCACATTACATAATAAAACTATTCTAGCATATTTCATTTTTTACTTTATAAAAGCTATATCGCTTTTCCTAGATCTTTTACACGTATTGATCTATTCACTTTTGAGTTATCTCTCTTTTGTATTGCCAAGTTTCTTTTTGTTTTATTTCTGTCATTTAACGACACAAAGCATGAATGTGATATACATGTGCAATGTATATGGCTGAAGATAGAAATAAATCTGGTGTATCTCGCATTTCAGATCTGGCTTGTCAAGCTTGGGACATGGTTATTAATTTGCATTGATAAATAACTACTCACTGTATAAAAAAGCTAAAACAAGAACTTCATGGCATGTTCCATCTACATTTTCTCTCTGAGAACATGTTATTTAGCGCGGTCACAACATACTTGTTTTAATACGTTGATGCCGATTTACATGAACATACTTTTTATAAATAACAATAAGAACTGAGATACATTCATCTTTTTATAACAAAGAACTGAGATGCATTCATCAATTTGTAACAAAGTACCGATATACAATCATCATTTTATTGGTATATGAAATACTCGCAGCTCTTACAGTTTTGTGATATCAAAAATAAAATTGTTTTTTATTGTCGTATTTTCCGGACATTTACCTCTCATATGACGCTATGAGGCGGGGCCTTGGAGTTTTCCTGCTGCTTTGCAGTCTTCTACTGCGTTTATTGCCTTGAAAGTATAATAAAATTGATAAATCGAAAAACATAAGACGAATTGAAGGAATATATAGAAACATGTAAAACCAGGTTTAAGTCTACCAACATACCCAAGTCGCTAGATAAGATGCTGCCAAGCTGACTTGTTTGGCCGAATCTACTGTAACAACACTAAGCAAAGCCTTGACTTTCCTTGCTGAAGACGGATCACATTTATCGGCCTGAAACTCTTTTAACTGGTTCAAAAACGAGTCTGGAGCTGAAGTCGGTTTTGCTAACTTCTCCCTTATAAATTTCCAGTTCTGAAAATGTGAAATTTTTTTCACATTTATTAAACATGTATTTTAAACAAGTAATGAATTTTTCAAGGATTCAAGAAAACAATATTACTAAATTTAAAAACTTTGCATCATGAAAACCGATTGCTGAACATTGATATTCAATGAACACAATGAACTTCAAAACTAGAGATTCAAGGTCTTTTTCCTTGACATTAAAGATAAAAACAAAATGCTTATTCTAATCAGATGATCTTACATATACACCTATTTATTTATTTTTTCGAACAATGAATGTGTTTCTGTTTTGATATGAACAAAATACCACATTTACAATATGATAGCAAAGCAAAGGAAAATTTTTACTGATATTTTTCACTGAGACCTGTTTAAGAATTAAGGCTTTTTAAAAAAGCTTGCAGGATTATAGTTTGTTTCAGAATTACATATATTTATTGAATATATTCTAAAACTACTAAAACTAACGTCCCTGATTATGAATTTCATTTTGTGCAGGAAATAATTTAAAAATTCCATTGTTAAAAAATATTAATACTTTATTATGGGTTTTAAAAACATGATAATTTTCTAAGCTACAAAGAAAAAAAAACTTTTACATTCCTTAAAATGGATATTTTTGCAGATATTTTAATTAGTCAGAAACCTGACAAAAATCCATTCCTAAGATTTTATTACACCCCTTAATACGATTTTTCTGTTCTGAAGGGTTGCAATGAAATGTAAAGATAAAGAACAGTAGTGATTCTCAAAAGTCCATATCAGATGATAATGGCATATTGCTACATAAATTAGGAACGTTGACGATGGAAAAGTTGAAGTCATCACATTTATCCTAAAGTTTAGTAGTTAGTTTGCCATCAATGCCTTTTTCTAGTAAATTTAATCTTTTTAATATCAATCTCAGAGTACTTTTGAGTAGAGTCAGAAAGGTGCAGCTTTATGCTGCAAGAATAATTACAGGATTACCCATTATAGCCTCAAGAGATGCATTATATTTAGAAACAGTATGGGAACCTCTCGCAGAGAGGCGTGAAGTAGGAAAACTAAATACCATGTTTAAAATACATCACAGTTTGGTACCTGATTATTTAAAAAGTATTTTTCCCTCAATAAGGAGTGTTGAATCAAATTACAACACACGTAATCGAGATGACTACACTATTCCTAGATGCAGACTCGAAATATTAAGAAATCTTTTGTTCCTGATACAGTATACCAATGGAATAGTTTAAGTATTACCACAAGAAACAGCTCAACTTTTAGTAGTTTCAAAAACAAAATACTTAAAAAATAACCAGCAGACCCCCCTCCTTATTTCTGTTATGGTAACAGACGACTTAGTATCATACATACTAAGCTACGACACAACTGTATTTTAGATTATGATCTTTATAAAAGAAACATTATTGAGAGTCCTAATTGTTCATGTGGTACACCAGAAGACCCATATCATTTCTTCTTTGTATGTAATAAATATCAACATGCTAGAGAGGAACTATTTAGAAACCTACTGTGTCTTATTAAACCAAACACTAAATTGAATATTATTGATTGTCACCTACTTCTGTGGGGAGATGAGTCACAAAATGTTGAAATCAATAAATATATTTTTCAATCTGTACAAAAATTTATAAGAGATTCTGGCAGATTCAATTAATTATAACAGCCTTACACTAAAACTCTAGTTAGTTATATATTTATCATGTAATTAATGTATGTTTAAAACAAACATGTTTGTATATCAATATTTTTTTTCCATATATAGACCTTGACAGTTGTAGCCATTTATGGTGAGAACCTCGTAAGTTGTTAGAACTTGTGTTCAAACCATTTGTATATTATTTATACAATAAAATATGTTCAAACCAATGGTTTAAAACAAAGTAATTTTGTAAATGACTAATGACAAAATAGGAAAATTTGCAAGTTGCATTTTTTATTAAAGAAGCAACTGTCTATATGATATTTAAAAAAAACTTTGTTGTATAAATATTGAACAGTCATGCTTTTTGGGGATATTGATTTGGCCAAATTTTGTAGATTTAAAATTTTATAAAATTTCTTTGGAGACTTTTAATATCCCCATTTAATTAACACAACTTCTCTAGTATGTTGTTTCACAGTGCTGCTGAAGTTTCTCCTTCAAAAGGCTTGGTAGAATATGTACTAAATCAAGCTATGAATCTGATTGTAAGGATTTTAATGAAGTTTGATGAAGATATAATGATTCAAATTCAGATTGGTTTTGGGGAATATTGCGACTACTAAAGTATTTCCTATCAAACCTATTAGTTCATACATTTAGTTTTTAAGTACTTGATGATTGATATTAGTTTTTAAAATAATACATTTAAAATCATTGTCATAATTAAATAAATATTTAAAAGACAAAGATGTGAATATTATTGTTTATTTATTTTCCATTTTCAAGTTCTATGGTCGATACAATGCCTTCTCAGCAAATACAATTTATCATTGAGTCAAATCCTGACTGACGTTTTTCATACTAATTGTTAGACCATTATTTACACACTGAATTGTCGACGGATTTTTCCGTTATTTTCCGATCATGACAAGGAGCACACGGCGGGTGTGGCCGGTTGGCAGGGGATGCTCACTCCTCCATGGCACCTGATCCCACCTCTGATGTTTTGGAGGTCCGTGTTTGCTCTGCTCCTATTTTGTATTGTTTAATGGACTTTTGAGCTTGAATACTGTTCGTTATCTCCATATATTTCACTGTAATAAATCTGAATGATGAAATATTGTCTTGTAAAATTTCAAAATACCTTATATACTCGTTATTCACATCAAAGATAGACTGAAGTCATTAAATCTAACGAAGTCTGAAGTGCCCTTACCCTGGCCTCAGTAGACGAGTATCCAAGGAGAATAAAGATGGCTTCCAGTGTATGTCTTAGAAGAGGAGGGGGACAACAGAGTGATAATATTTCAGAAACATTTTCTTCGGTAACGGACGCCATGTTATAGCCATATATATCTACTGAAAAAAAGATTCATTCTTCGTTGAAATCATTTTTGTTCGTTAATACAATACAGTGTTTATGCATTCAATATAAATATATATATTTTTAAAAAAATTATGCGGATCCAAAGGGTGTAAAAGTCAGATATTAGACTAGAGTCTGTCACATATTAAATAATATCCCTGTTTAAAAATACACTGTAACAAATTTATTTTATTCCTATAACCCTGAACACATTTTAAGCACAGATGCAAGTACTGACAGTTTTTTCTTGTGCAACCGGCTTAACTTTTAGTTAAAGTCATATTTCACATATATAGCCCCTTGGGGGTGTGCTTGCGATTTTTTAAGGTGTGAAAAAGTAGCAGTGGTATGAACTGGATTCTGACCCATGTATAAAAACCACAACTCTGCGTTAATGTGATTCAAGTTCATTTACCTTGTGTTTATCAGATATCGAAATGTTTATTTTGAAAACATACGTTGAAGGTGACTTAACGCATACATTAAATAAAATGGAATTTTAGAAAAAAGAATGTTGGAAACATCGAACATTGTCGAAGTGTGAAGATAACGATATGGTTAAACCATAGACCATTCAAGAAAAAATAGAAAATTGACAAAGATACGTTCAACAAACATAAAAATATAGCACTCTTACAACAAGATAACCAGGCTGGTGATGCCTAACCAATAAAACGGTCTATGAGGGACAAAATAAAAATTATCTTAATATGCGAGGCCACATAGAATTTTTGTCACCTATAGGATCCCGTAGGAATGCCAGGAGAAACGGTATCGGGTATTCCCCTATCCCAAGTGTATACGCTCCTGCTTCAGTTCTTTCAAGTATTGGGAAATGTAGTCGTTATCATGAACCGAAGACAAGAAAGCATACATAGGGGTGGGGTGGGTGTGGTAAAATCATTGATACACTGAACCGCCAATGCCAGTCTACCATGCTCATCCTCAATATTCAATATCATTGGTACAGCTCTGAGGATAATGACGTCATCACTTTCGCGGTGACGTATTACACTTGGGATATTCCCCTATCCCAAGTGTATACGCTCCTGCTTCAGTTCTTTCAAGTATTGGGAAATGCAGTCGTTATCATTTCCTAGACCATCACCATTGCAGCTGAAAATACCATCTTCTCCCAATACTCATCATTATAAAATTCAGGTCAACAAACTTTGTTCAACCACACCCTAATCTCTTGTAACTTGTTAACTAAAAGACCAAATTTATTTATTTAATATTTATTTTTATTATAACATTGTCAAACATTTTTATTATTACAAACATCATTTAATTGTGATACATTGACTATCTGAAAGAGAATTTATATTTAAAGTCATACAAATTGTTCCTTCAACAATACAATATATTTACATATATGTTCTCATTGTTCTGACCTTATAGAATTATGTAATATTCATTACAATCTACAACAGCTGACAAATTTAAACAACCTTAGAGGTAGGTTCTTACTGAAAAGCCTTCTGTAACATACTGAAATCCCCATATTGTTGAAAATGATCTTCCACAAAATCACATTGACCTGCACTATCTGCTAATCTACCTGCTATGTAGTCCGATTCAACCAATGCTGGCAATCTACTGTAATATTCCGCAGTTCCCTCTCCATACCATCCAACATGGTTCATAATTTGTCCTACATTGTCAACTGACCCAGACAAAGCTAGGGTCACAGCACATCCCGCTCTGAAACTATGAGGAGTCTCACCATCATATATTCCTAACAAAGAGAGATACTGAATTAATCTTTCATACATTACTGAATACATGTATGTCACTCTTTGACCTATGACTCTACCATTCTCCAAAACAACTCGAAAAAGAAAACCATTTGCCAGATCCACACCCATACTTTTACAACCTTGAACATACCTGTGCAAACCAATCACTGGACAAACTGCCTTATCTCTACATCTCTTTATAACAAAAACATGAGCTTTATGTTTCTTTCCTCTTAGAGTTTTCCCAAATGTTTGTTTTATTACTAAACCAGAATTGTCATCCAATTGCTTTATCTCCTGTCCTACAAGCATTGCCAAGTCATTTGCCCTATTTCCTCCAAAAAATTGTAATTTCACCCAAGCCTGATCCCTCAGAAGCACATATCTTTCCCTTGGTGAAATATCAACCCGATCTAATTCATTATCTATATATGAAGTGATTTTTCTTACTTTCCCTAGAAAAATTGGCTTTGCTTGCTTAGGAACCACATGTGCCGCAGCTTGTTCTTCTTGAATAAGTTTCACATATTCTTTGATGCAATGTGCAGCTGCAGGGTTACCTGTAACATTTTTCTCATCCCAGAATTTACCACGACCACTTTTGTTAAAAACCTCAAATAAAGTTTGCACCATCACTGCTACTGTCCCAGCTGCTAATCGTCTTGGACACTTACAACTTCCCAATTCTTTAGTACTCAAAAATATACAATTTATCTTATGTACTGGTGTCTTGCCAAAATCATCCTTCCAAACAAGAAAATGCTTCAGATCATCTGGAGTACAATTAGATATTGTGCAGTCTGTTCTCAATCGTGGAAGAAAGAAATTCAGGGAGTTTAATAAAGTATCTTTTCTCTTAGTTAAAGATGATAAGGAAGATTTGTCCTTCAATTCTTTAATCCTCTTGTCAATTTTTAGCCAGATCCAAGCCTTCCCCCTGCAAAATTGAATAACAAACATCTTAGACAAACAATAACCTGAAAGCAACTAGTGACCATCTCAGACCCTTATTATCTGTAATAAAACCTTTCTTAGAAGGAACCTTAATTACTGCCTTATCTCCCCTTGTTCCAAGTTCTACACTATTAACTACATGCTTTTGAACAAGAGGCCACCAAACAGGTACTGGTTTGATAATTGGTAGGATACATGTGCATAGACCAACCCTCTGTTCCCTTAAAAATAAGAGCACAGGATGTATGAGGGCAAAAGGGGGATAAACATAAGCATTTACCACTGCTGACAGATCTTGAGCAAACAAATTTACACCCAATGAACAAGGGGTAGGATATGGGGTAAAATGAGGCAGAGCTGTACCTTCTGAGGACTTCATGACATTAGAATCAATAGCCATTAAATCAACTGAATGGGGTCCAAAGTGTCTTTCAACACATTGCCATGAACTAACACTCAAACATGCATCACTGTAACTAAGGCTACGTGAAGGTAGATCTGCCTCATTTAAATCTGAAGGTACATATTGCATGTGCAGATCACAATTACAAGAGGTCACCAAGCCAAATATTTGTTTTGTTATATTATTCAATGATCTGTCCCGTCCTCCTTGATTGTTCCAAACACTCAAAACAGCAACATTATCTACTAGCAAGTCAACCCTCGAATTTCTAATTACATCTTCCAGTGACCTCAAGACCTGAAGGACTGCTTCGGCCTCCTTCAAATGAATGGGTCTATTGTCATTTGTGGCCCAAAAATCCCCAACTTCCACCTTTGTTCCCTGAAAACAAACTACTGCCCCATATTTGTAGCTAGATGCGTCCGTTGAAATGTTAACCTGCTTATGACTCTCTGACCTCCACTTAGCGTACCCCTTCCATGAATCCAGGAAACGCCAATACTTCAACTCTTCTCGTAACTCCTCACTTATGACAACATTTTTTGAATTTTTAGCCCCACATGAAATTGCATTGTTAACTTCCCTACAATACAACTTTGCCCCTGGAATTGCTAGACCCATAGAAACGCATTTGCCTGCAAATCGCTGCAAAGTTCGAATAGAAACCTCCCTGCCTACTATAAGTGACTCTCTTAACTCTCTGAATGTACTCTTTTTATCCTCTGGTAATACATAAGCTAACTTTACAGAATCTGCCAAAAATCCAAGGAACCTTACACATTTACTTGGTTCCAAACATGATTTTTCAAGTGATACTGTGTAACCTAAACGAGTTAAAATTTGAAGTAGAGCATACACAATCCTCAAACAATTTTCCTTTACCTCCAAGTCAGAACTACCCACAGATGGATTTGCTATCATCAAACGATCATCAATATACTGAGTTGTTGTTACATTCAATTTTCTCAAATAAGATGTAATAGTCATACCAATAGTTTGGTACACAAATGGTGAGGCCTTCCATCCAAATGGTAGAACTGTGTACACCATGAGAAATCCACCAAATTCAATTCCAAAGTAAGTTTGTGAATTTTCTGACAAAGCAACATGTTCATAGCCTGACTTTTCATCACAAGTTGCCATCCATGCCTCAGAATCTATTAATCTATGTATATCATTTAAGGTTTCAAGACGAAAAGGAGAATCCTTTATCCATAAATTTACATATCTACCATCCAAACACAACCATGGTTTAGATGGCTCTACTAACAAAGGCATCACAACTTTAGGGATTTCAGATTCCCCAATCCTCCCAATAACCCTTATAGCGCCTGACCTTATCTTCTCATACAGTGTTTGGCATACAAATTCTATGTGAACTCTACAACTAACACTATTTCCCAAGAAAATACTGGGAGGCTCAGCACTGTCATAAGAAAAATCTTTAAAATTTCCTTTAAAGTGGGAAAAGAATTCCTTAACATCTACACCCTGAGTTAGCCACCCACTAATTCTTTGTTTAATATCTTCATCTACTACTCCCTTGCTCAAAACTTCCTGCCAGTGCTCAATATTAAGATGTATCTGACCTGCCTTAAATAACTTTGGGTCACGCAATGGTAAATTTGGAATGTCAAAATCAGCCCCTTGAAGAACAGATTCAGCTGTGGGATGTTTGGTTACAAATGAGGGAGTCCCACCTCCCAATGTCACCCATGATGGATTCTGTCTAAGATCTATAAGAGTTGGATCAAAATCCAGTTCTCTCTCCCAATCTGGTATTCTATGATTAATCACTGCATATTTATTCCCCTGTAAAATATAAACATTACGGTCCATGAACAAGGATTCCAACATGGGAGACATACGGGTGATGGAACTCCCTCACTTGTAACCTACGTGAATAAATCCACTAAGACTTAGTTGTCTTCAGGTTACAAGGTTGGGCATTCCATAACATACAATTTTTTCAAAACATATCAACTACCTTATCCACATTACATCGTATATCACAAAATGAACAAATTAAAAATGATAAAATATTGTATTTACAAACCCGATATTTATACAAACTGATGAAATAACATTTTCTCAATGACTATTGCAATTTAAACACAAAATATAGGAAATTCAACATCAAAATACTTTTAATCATTGAAATGAACCATATGAACACATCAAATCTTGGAAACCCATGAAGTTTATCTTACTTTTAATCCATACTTTCCATCGAAAATTCCCTATTTTCTTTTTGCTTGTTTCATGAGTTCACAATCTTTTACATAGTGACCCGATGATTCACAAAATAAGCATGTCCCTCTACCCATGTTTTGTCTCTTATAAGGCCTCCCTTGACCCTGAGGTCTGACTGACCTATACATGTATCCCCCTCCATATTGAGGCATATAAGAATAAGGGTGAGGAAATCCCATCGAATACATGGGCAAAGGAGGGTACAAGTTTGCCAACACCGATTCCTGCTTTGGTGGCTGAATCTCCTCCTTACTTGTAATCTTATCACTCTTAACTTCTGAAATCCCAGTCTCTTTCAAGCATTTATTTATGGCCTTAGTAACTGTACCTGCACCCTTCCCCCCAAGAACTGTTAAGCATAAATTTCCCATATTGATTTTACCCTGCATCCTACTACATTGTCTATACAGTTCTTCATATACATCCATGTCCTCATGGTTCATTTTTCTAGCTAACCTAGACAATTCATCTAAACTCAATAAAATCAATGCTTCACTGGGCTGGGACTGGGTACAGAGAACTTTAATCTTGTCTTTAACCTGCTGAACCTGTGCATCATCCTTGTCCTGAACGTCAGGTGTTGAATCTTGCAGTTTCCTACGTTTTCCACCATTGGAATCCTAAAATACATTGAAATACTTAATCCAGAAATCCTACCAATACTATATATCTCATAGTCTGTTAGGCTTAACCATCCATTTCCTTACCCATGAATATATCTATCAGAATAATCCTCAGTACTATCTGTCAGTCACTGTATAATCTATTAGTAACTTTATCAGCAACTCTCCCATTACCCCTTTTGACATAGTCTATAAGCATGTAGTGCCCAGTTAAAATAAATTTTGTTTAACCACATGTTCAAAATTAAAAATAATCATCTTCATACAAGCGAATAATTTACAAAACATATTGCTTCGAAGACCAACACATTATCTGCTACTATAGGTACCTGGTCTTTATTGCTTGCTATTCTTTCTTGTCCCAAATCCGGATCCTGTAAGTCTTGACCGTCCGGTTGCCCCTTCTCATTCGCCAGTAGTATACAAAAATGCAATAAAAGCCGTGCAAAATTTTCATCACTTGTGTCCTTCCCTATTATAAAAAATTAATTTTAATGCAAAATTATCATTACTCGTCTTTAAACTTCTAGTCATTTAATCAAACAATTGAGATTAATTACAGTATGCACAGCAAGCTTCATAGACTAACATGTAAGAACAGAGAAAATTTGGAATATTTATGTATTTGTCAGGCAAATTGCAAGTGCAACTCACTCAGAATTTCTTCACTACCAAGAATCCATACAATAATGGCAAATACAACAATCCCCATGTTTCATAAACTGATAAAGATTAAATTTCTGCAGGGAGTTTTGAAATTAAAAGAAATGAATCAAAGTTGCAGGTATAAATAGCTTGTGATAGTGCGCTTGCTCAAACGGTCCTACTGTGCAACATATTATTATTATAATACCTGCCAGTTCCAGTAGTTCAATTCCGTTTTCACCCGTTAGGTCTTCTATAGCTTTTAATGCATCCTCCAGTGTCATATTTTCCGTTCGTCTCGAGGACGAAAACCTCGCCAACTGCTTAATGCTATGGACATCTTGAATATCTCTTAATTTTCTTATTACCGGTAACAATTGTTTTCCTTTTAGAGAATGTTTTCTCTTGAGCAGTTGGAAGTACCATCTACAAGAACAAACCGGATGTTATTAGATCATATCTAAAATCTAAATAAATCCGTATAGCTCTAACAATTCCGGCATCGAAAAGAGCATAGAATCGATCCAGTCCATCGAGATGCAAAATCAAAATTATATAATTATAGCTTTTCTACTATTATTATAATTATAAAATAGGCCTACATCTTTATCATATTCCATGCGACTTGGCCCAGACATAAATCCACGTAAAATCAATGCCATCATCCATCTCCAGTCGCAATAATATTTAAAATTTTATTCAATCTACAAATATCTAATTAACAATGCCCTCATTACAATAATCCGAGCAAACAATCTATATTATCTCGCTATATATTAGGCCCCTATATTGTACCCCCTGGTACCAGCCATGCCGTCCTCATCGACGACATATAAACAATTATCTCACTCAAAAAATCAATCCTCAGCGATTGATAACTACCAGACCCCTTGGCCATGTATATGCCCTCATCGGCAATGCCCTCATCGGCAAAAGACAGCTCTACTGTCCAAAATAAGAAAAAAAATATTACCTTGCCGCTTCTCAATGTGGCTTCTCCTTGGTACAGCTCTGAGGATAATGACGTCATCACTTTCGCGGTGACGTATTACACTTGGGATACGGTACCAACAGAAGTGGATCATAAACAGTAATATTAGACCTACCTCTGATAGACTAAATGTTGAATATTTTATAACAACTGCTTTTATACTCTCCATCATAAACATGATAGAGTCTATGCTGAGTACAAGAGTTTAGGCCATAGAAGAATCCGTGTAAATCCCAATCAAAGTTAATATAATTCGGCCATATGATTCTATACAAGAACTATTTATGGTGCCCCATTTGCATTAAATGTCTGTATTTTTCGTGCTGAGTCTACTACGTATATTCTTCCTGTGAGTTAATTCATATTCTAGTGTACAAAACTATATGTAGATAGGACGTTCTATCGTTAAAAATAATATTGTCCTACGTACCCGATTTAACGATAGAATTTGTTCCGTGTATTGGCAATGTAGCAAAATAAACACGGGCAATAACTCGAACTCAGTGCATTTACTATGATCAATCCAGAGAGTTCCGAATGTCAACATGGCTTGAAAAAAACGTTGAGAAAATGAGTTGAATTTTCGTCTTTATATGGATTATTTTTAGGTTAATAGGCATATACAATCGCAAAAAGGTTTTTGTTATGATTAATTTGGTAGTTTTTTTCAGAGCAACTCCTCTTGTATACTTCAAAATCATTTCAGAGCGAATCCGCTCCGATTTGCTACATAGCAAGTATATGGGACGTATTCTAACTGTGGTGAGGGCTTGTCCCGAGACACAGTTAGATTATTCTAACTAAACTATATGAAGCAAGAAGAAAATAATAATACACTTTGAAAATGTCAAAATTAAAAACAAACAAACACTTATTTAAAGGGAATAATCGCCAAGCGTAAATTTCAGGTGATTTTTATTCCTTCTCCACCTCTAACTAAAGAAGTAGCACAGTCAAGTTAACAAAAGTCGAAAATAACAGAGAGCTAACACACACCCAGTCATAATTTAAATACACGAAACATTCATTTTTCCTCCAAAACGTTTATTAAACGATCTACCAAGCCTCTTTCTTTACTCCTCACTAAAATATTTACTGTAATGAAGGAGAAACTTCGGGAGTACTGTACAACAGTATATTTGAGAAGTGGTGTAAATCAGATGTGGATACTTAAAAACTCCAAAGAACTTATAGAAAATTTGAAATCACAAAATTTTACTAAAATCAATGACATCAAAACATTCGACTTTTCAACACTTTATACAACCATTCCCCACGATAAATTGAAGTCCAAGCTTTTTGACATCATAGACAGCTGCTCGTAAATATACTTACCTTGTCATTGGTCATTTGCAAACTTATTTTGTTAATAAACATTCTGATTGTACGCGCAAGTACTCTGAAGTTGATATTAAAAAGATGCTCGAGTTTCTGATTGACAATATCAATGTAGTTTTTGGAGATCAGATCTTCCAACAATCTGTTGGAATTCCCATGGGTACCAATTGAGCCCCCTTGTTAGCAGAACTATTTTTGTATTCATATGAAGCAGAGTTTATTAAAAACTTCTACATGAGAAGAAGAAAACACTTGCTGTGGCCTTCAAATCGACATTTCGTTATATCGACGACGTATTATCAATTAACAATAGTTACTTTCATTCATATGTCTACTCGATATATCCCAGTGATCTTGAAATGAAAGATACCAAAGATTCTGACACATCTGTTTCATATGTAGATATTTTACTAGAAAAAACGTTAATGGTAACCTAACAACAAAGATTTATGATAAACGTGATGACTTCAACTTTTCAATCGTCAACTTCCCTTACTTATGTAGCAATATACCCTAATCACCTGCATATGGGGTTTATGTCGCTCAGTTGATTCGATACGCAAGAGCATGCTCTACGTATGAACAATTTCTAAAACGAGGCAAATTATTGACAAACAAGTTGATGAAACAAGGATATCAACAGTCTCGGTTGAAGTCATCATTTCGCAAGTTTTACGGTCGATACAATGACCTTGTCAGCACATACAACCTATCATGAAGTCAAATGCTGACTGATAATTTTCATACTAATTGTTAGGCCATTACTTATACTCTGAATTGTCTACGGATTATTCCTTTTTTTTTTTATTTTTTTTATCAAGACAAGGAGCACACGGCGGGTGTGACCGGTCGGCAAGGGATGCTCACTCCTCCATGGCACCTGATCCCACCTCTAAATTTTGAGGTCCGTGTTTGCTCTGCTTCAAACTTGTATCGTTTCATTCGACTTTCGAGATTGAATACTATTCGATATCTTCATACTTCAATCTTAACAACAAATGACCTTCATTTTTTTTTTCAAATCACTTCAGAAATGAAACACTTATCTAATAGATCGTAGGAAAATTTTAAAAAATTACATCATGTTGCTATGTACTGAAAATAATCACACATGATAAAGAATTATGAAAACTTAGATGGATCTACATATCAAATGTAATTATAGTTTTTCCTCGTTATTTGCGTGAGAATATCCCATTTTTGTTGGATGCCTGGGTGAAATGACAGTGATTAACCGCAAAAGATCACAGCAATCTTCAAATCTTCTTGGTAAAACAGCGTCATTTGGTATATTCTACACATCTACACATCAGCTGCGTTTTTAAATTTGAATTTAAAAAAAAAGAAAACGAATAGACTTTGAAAATACCAATGTATCAATAAATGATCTAATGTCATTTTATAAATTTAAGCAAATTTACAGCATATAAATATAATATATTAAAAGGGGGAAAAATACAAGATCATAATATACAATGGACATTGAATTTCACAAATGTTTACAAGAATGCACATCTATATAAAAATAATATCCTGAAGTAACACAATTTTGCTTAACAAACTTACAAAAAACAAAAATCATTGTTTTATATGAAAGTTTATATTAACTACAATGCTGGTGATGAGATACAAATGAATATGAATAAGAAATGTTCAGGAATATGACATAAAATATGTATTAGCAATGCGTCCCTTTTGTTGAGTAATGCACATTTATTGCTGACACATCAGGAAGTGTCCTGAAGTTTTCCGGCAGCCTCACATTCCTCCAGTGCCTTCAATGTCTTAAAGATACGATTTAAAATATATCAATAAAACATTTTTATCCCATGTTTACCCCTTTATCCCGTGGATATGACTCATTGGATAAATTTTTCATAATCCACAGTTGTGACGTCACAATGGTTTTTGCGTTAGCGCGATGAAGTAAAATAAAGTGGAGTCCTATATAAAACAGTGTAAAACATTGGTTGTGAAGTATTAAACATGGGATAAAAAGAATCTCCCATGATTTGTAGTTGGATATGACTTTTATCCAACTCGTTGTGTGTTTTTATCCCCTCGCCAAGGCTCGGGGATAAAAAACATACAACTCGTTGGATAAAAATCATATCCAACTACAAATCATGGGAGATCCTATATTTATTCTGCGTGACTTTCATACCATCGATATGGTGTGGAGAATTCAAAATTTATGCACATGTACATCACTTTTAATAATAGTTTTTGGTTTGAAATGTAAATTCATCTCAAATAAATAACTTAAAACATACCCAAAGCACTAAAGCTGATGCCGCCAAACTAACGGATTTGGCCCTCTCAACTGTTATATCTGTGAGCAAAGCCTTGGCTTTTTTTACTGATGCCGGATCACATTTTTCCGCTTGAAAACCATTCAACTGACTCAGAAAGGTTTCTGGAGGTCCTAACTGCTTTTTTATAAAGCCGAAGTTCTGAAATGAAATATGTTGAAATACTTTTCTCCATCAGATACTTCTATTTTTTTCTATAAATTTCATTTTTTAAAATACTTTTATATCTTATTACTCATTACACATTTTTCATCACAGTCACAGTAAATTACAGCACCGTGTTTTAGTGGGTCGTTTCTCATCCCTAATATCGTATAACACCCAAACTGCTGAATTTTATCTTTATGGTACCCTGATATTTTGTGGCTAAATGAATACATTTTTAACTAGAGGTTTTGTGAGCCCTGGGTCCACTTTGCTATGCTTTTCCCCATTTATCAGTCCAAGCAGAACAGGAAATAGAAGGTGCACAACAGCATTATGTAATAAAGATTCTGTGAAAGTACATTAAATTTCATTCAGTGGTATAGGAGGAGTTGCGGATAAAATGGGTACCCCCAATACTACAGAAAAAAAAAATGGCAGTGTCCACGTTTTGCTACGGGAAACCCCTTATACCTGTCTGATAGAATGAAAAATTGGAAGTCTACAGTGGCACTGTGCAATAAGATTCTGTGAAAGAAATGATGATTCAATTATTTGAGGATTTAAATGTACTCACCCCGGCTTCAGCAGACGAATATCCAAGTAGCAGATAAACAGCTTCAAGTGTATCTTTTACAAGCTGTGGAGGGGCACCGAATGATTTTAATTCACGAATATCTGCTTTAGTCAAAGTTGTCATGTTACTGCTGAACATAGAACAAAAAAATCTTTCAAAAAATTGAAGAACAAGTATAAAAGTCGTGGCATTATTTTCCCCTTCAGTTCAAGAAGCTAAGCCCGGCAGCAATGCTTGATCAAAATGTTTTAATTTTTTAATAGATTTAACTTATTTATATAAATTTTTACTTACCTCTGTTAGATATAGTGAACCCTTTTTAGATTTTTAGATACAATGCTTGTATTACTTTTGTATATGCCTGCTTATATATGACATTGACATTATACTGGGTATTCCAAGTTACTCAAAATTTTAAAATAAAACCTTGAGTAAGAAGTGAATCGCTCGGATTGTCCACTTTAATCGTCAGTCATATAAATGAAAGGTCAATATATGGTGCCAAATTAGTAGATTTAAAGCTACAGACCTGAGCGCATATTTTACAGATCCTGATAAAACTCTTAAAGAAATCTAAACAGTTTTCTTAAATGCCAGACAATAAAAAAATATTATAATAGTTTAAGGTTATAAAAGTAACACTAAAAAAACGCAGGGCAATGGCAATGACCTTTATTCTCTTAAATGTACAAACATACATTGCAAAGGCTAACAACCATCTTGCCTTCCCATTATCAACGTTTGTTTTGAATATACGTTATATACACAAACATGATAAGGGTAGTGCTATCATTCTAAATTGAGAATATATAAGTGGGTGTCTCTTTCACATAAGTAATTAGAATACTAGTAGGTGCTCCTTTCTCAATGATAATA